ACTAGGGTTTACTAGAAATATTTTCAATGAACCTGAAATGCCCTTCTAAAATGTTCATCATCTCTGCCTTGGTCTTAAACCACTGCCGAAAATGATGCACAAATTTCTAGGTCATCCTAGGGTCACTGGATTAAATCATTAGTTATTTGAGTTTGGGCATTTAAATAATATAAAATATTTCAAATGCTCAAATAATCCCAAACTAAAATGTTCCATGTTGGATATATTCCAGACAGTGGCCATGTGCAGTTTGGTGATTTTTGAAGTTGCCTAAGTATTTTTAGAAAATGCAAAAAACTTACAGAAATAAATAAAAACAGAAACTAAATAAGAGAGAGAGAGAGAGAGAGAGAGAGAGAGAAAGGCCAGAGGCAACTTACCTGCACTGGGCCGGCCCACCTGGCCCGTGCCAGTCACCACCCACCTCTGCTAGTACGCAGAGGAGGGGGCGGTGCATGCGCGCCGAGCTCGCCACGCAGCTCCCTACTCGTCTGTGTTGCCTGGATAGTGCAGCGACGCCTCGAAACGCCTCCTCGGTGTCGCCCCGACTGCTCCGACACCTCACTTTCCCTCCTGCCATCTCTCTCGCCCTCTCTTCGCCATGGCCGACGCAGCCGTGCTCGCGCTGTCGTGAAGCTCGCAGCCACCACCGTCCACTCGTCGCCCCGCCGTGTCCAGAAGCTCTGCCGTCGTCCGCTTCACCGAGCCAGCCGAGCCCCGAGCGCTCGCACGCCTCGGAGATGCCTCCCCGACCCCGCCTTCACCGCCCGTTGCCGTAGATCCCCTCGCCGCCTCGTCGCCGTATGACCTCCTCCGAGCTTGCCGTTCGTTCCCCTGGAACGGTCGTGAGCTCCTGCCCCTTTTCCCCCTCTCCGTTCGCCCTGCCGCGCACCACAGTGACTGCACCGAGCTCGCCCGCCCCGCCGCCGCCTCTGCACATCGCCGTCGTGGCCACAACCACGCTGGCTTGAAACCGAGCATGCTACCGCACTCGCTGCATCCCCAGGAGCCCGCAACACCACTCCATGCACCTCGTCGTGCCTCCTAGCAACGAGCCCGAGCTCACCCAAGCTCCGGCAGCCGCCAAGCTCATCGCTGGCATCGTTTCAGGCGACCCCGAGCTCCACCACCACCACCAATCAATGCGCCTTGCTCCCAGCTACGCGTAGGAGCACTCCGCCGTCGATTTGGTTGCCGGAGTGCGCAACCCGCACTGCCCCGCCGCGTCTGGCCTCGCCGGCGGAAAAACGCCGGTGGTTAGCCCCGGTTTGACCAGGGGTTTGACCTTCCCTGGATCTATGAGAGGTGCGGCCCAGCCCTGTAATTAACCTAGGTTAGGGATAACTAAATTTAGTTAGTTTAATTAACCATTGACATGCGGGACCCGCTGGTCAGTTTGACCTGGACCGGCCCTGTTGACTGGTGACTTCACAGTGATGCAATGCTGACGCAGTAAAGAATTTTCTGGATTTAAATTTATTTAGAAAATTCCAGAAATTGTTACAAACTTCAAAAATTCATAGAAATTAATTTGTAGCTCCAAATGCAAAGTGTTATATTTGAAAAATGATCAGAAAAATCCAATCTATCCATCTGTACTGGTTTCATGCATGTTTGAACAAGATAACTTGTTGTTTAGTGCAAAATATGATAAAGCACTATTTAAGATCACATATGGGTTTGTAATTTGAATCTTTGGCTCAAAATGGTTCAAACTCATCTGGTCATAGTTGCATTAGCCCAATACACTCATTTTTCCATGTCTCATGCATGCATCATATTGTTGCACATTGTTTGGTGTTGATTGTATATCGGTGCTCTCTGCGGCAGGTTCTGCCCCCGAAGAGTATCGCGAGTATCCAAACGAGGAGCAATACCAGTCTACGAACCCACAAGGCAAGCAACCAACCAATTGATCGTATCAATACAACCCCATGTTCTCGCTTCTACTCTCTTTTACTGCATTAAGGCAACGCGTTTCAAACTGTTATGTGCTACGGTAGCTGAACGCATTTCCTCTGCATGACCTGTCATTGCCACAGTAACTAGATGAAAGCCACTAGCATGTGTAGGATTTGATTGACCCGTGTGTATGTGTTTCCTACCTTGCTATGCCTGCTATGCTTAGAGTCATGTCAGGTCTGGTTCATCTGGGTGATGGCCTAGAGTGAAATGATCATGTCGGTAAAGAGAGTGATTTGTTGAACACGATTTGGTAAAGGTATCGATGAGAGGCCATGTAGGAGTACATGGTGGGTTGTTTCATTGGAACCGTCCTTAAGCACTGAGATCTATATGTATGATTTAAGAATCAGCTACTACCATGCATTGGGCCTGACACCAATGGACTCTCTCGGCTTCTTAACCACCCTGGCCCTCTGTCCAGGAGTTGCAGGTAGTTTCTGGTGTTTGTAGTATACTGGAGGCCGTGGGCAGCGCTGACCCTCGGGGTGGGCTGTGATGCGGTAGGTATGTGGCACGGTGTACCGGATGCCCATTTGGTATCTCGGGAACCCTGCACACATCCTTCGGGGCCGTATGTGGAAACCTCGGTCGGACTCCCTGCGGATGGAACCTGAATAGGCGATAAACCTAGACTAGAGACTTAGATGTTTAGGTAGGCTGTGACCGACACCCACGTTGGGCTTCCGCTTGAAGGTTGCCGAGTACATATCGTGTAAATGGCGATAAGTGGTGAAAGCGTGTATGAAGAAGTACACCCCTGCAGGGTTAACATCATCTATTTGAATAGCCGCGTCCGCAGTAAAGGACTACTTGGTTGTCTATATGGTTCATAGACAAGTAAATGGATACTACTAAAAGCCTCAAGATAAGAGTGAGTGCCGAGGATGGCTCTTCCGTAGGATGACGGAGGTGGATCCCTGGTAGTGTATTGAAGTGGTGTGTAGTGGACTCAAGTGCGCAAAACAATTACAAGTTGGTGTCTCGTAAGATAGCTTAGCCAAGTGTCAAAGCGGGCTTGCTACAATAACCCCACCATCCCTTCTTGATAATGTGCATGTATGTAGGATCTGATGTAAGTCTTGCTGAGTACCTTTGTAGTCATGTTTGCTCAATTTATGTTTTACAGAAGACGCTGCAACCCCTTCTGATGGGTTCTTCATAGACGTCGATGTCGACGAGTAGGCTGAAGCGCAGGTGGTGATCCTGAGCTCATGATGGACCATGTAGGATAGCCAGGCTTCCTCAAGCCTCTTTTATTTTCTAGATGTCTATACTCAGACATGTTACTTCCGCTGTTGGCTTGTATGTTTGTATGACTTGAATGCTGGGTCGTGTGACCTATACTTGTGTGTATGATATGTATGGCTCTTTGAGCCTTTAAATAAAGTACTTGAGTTGTAGAGTCATGTTGTGATGGCATGTTGTATTTGCACATATCGAGCATATTGTGTGTATGATTGAAATGCTTGGTATGTGTGGGATCTGACTATCTAGTTGTTTATCCTTGGTAGCTTCTCTTACCGGGAAATGTCTCCTAGTGCTTCCACTGAGCCCTGGTAGCTTGCTACTGCTCCGGAACACTTAGGCTAGCCGGCATGTGTTCTTCTTCGTTCCTGTGTCTGTCCCTACGGGGAAATGTCACGCGATGACTACCGGAGTCCTATTAGCCTGCTACAGACCGGTTTACCGGAGCCCTGCTAGCCCAGTTGCTACAGCCCGGATTCACTCGTTGATGACCGACACGTTCGTTGCTGGGTCATGTATGCCTGTCCCTGTAAGTTAGTGCCACTTTGGGTTCACGACTAGCCTTGTCAGCCCGGACTCCTTGTCATATGGATGCTAGCGATCACTATCATATACGTGTGCTAAAAGGCACAAACGGTCCCGGGCAAGGTAAGGCGACACCCATGGGAGTACCGTGCGTGAGGCCACAAAGTGATATGAGATGTTACATGCTAGATCGGTGTGGCATTGAGTCGGGGTCCTGACAGAGGCCCGCGTAATTGTTGGGCCCGACCACGTCCCCATTGCAAACCATTTCATTGCAGTGGTCGACATTGTCGCTGCCCCGAAGCCGCCATGGCATAATCAATCGAAGCAGTGAACGTGGCAGTTGACCGCATGGATGTCGCCCGCGCGTTCTTAGCTAGCGTCGAAGCGGAAGATGATGCCTAGCACTGTGTACTTCTATCACATTTTACCTATGTAAATATGTTTTATTATTTCGTTAATTAAGAACATATGAACATATGTTTCTTTATTATTTACTGTCTTTATGTATGTTTTAAATATTCATATGATGGGTGGAGGTCAACGTGCAACCTGAAAAACTTTCTACTATTGAAATCGTGCGAACATCATCACACACGACTTCTTAGATGTAACTTTTTGTGATGATAAATATATCTCACACGGTCTGTTGTAAATTGCACATGATACATTCAAAAGTTTTGTGTGATATGGTTCAAGTCATCACATACAATTGTTTCAATACAACCGTGTGTTGTGTAGCACACACGGTTCATTTAGCCAAAATGTATGTGATTGTTTAGTTCGTCGCACACGCGTCCTTCTATGAAGTTGTATACATTTTTCTTCCCCAATCACGCGAGATGTGCTGGCGATTGCACACGTTTTATTTCCAAGGACTCATAATCACACACAATTTATCGTTTTCGTGTGCGATAAAGGAGCCTTAACAGAACCGCTCTGCACTAGTGCAGTGCATTCCATGATGCCGCGATAGTAGGCCTTTATGTTTTGGGGTTGTAACACTTTAGGGGTTGCTACACAAACCTTAAACTCTTTTCCCATCTTATAATCCATGAATGAGGTAAAAAATTGCCTTTGTTAAAAAACAATGTATTCTTTAGAAAAAAATGTATAATTTACGAACTTTTTTCAGTTACATCTACACCACCAACAACTCAATATGTGCGCGTGTATATGAGCGCTTGTGTCTGTACTGATGTTTAAAAAAAAATCTCAATATGTGCTGTCCGGACCTTGTTTGCGTTTTCTTCGTTGATGGCTCATTACAATCCCCTCAGCATGGCGTGGGCAACGAACCTATTTGCAGCCTCCGTGTAATGGATCCCATCCCACGAAACGGACATCGACGGATCGGCGCACGCTGTTGCCGCCGGAGTGCCGCAGAAGAAGGTGAAGTTGAAGTTGTACGGCCCCCCGCCGCCGCCGCAGCACGCTGCCAAGGGCATGCCGCCGAAGCCTGCCACAGATGCAGTACATGCGACGCGTGTCAAGAAAAACAATATGGCAGTTAAGAACCGAAACCGATAGCATGCGCATCAACTGGAGAGGGGAACCGCACCGTATTTTCTGGGCCAGGAGACGACTGCGGTGATGGGGCGGTACAGATCGGCGTAGTGGATGGCCGTGCCGGGGTGGTCTCGCCGGAGCTGGCAGAGCATGCGCTTCAGCGCGCGGTTGTGCAGCTGGGCGAGCTGGTTGAACCGCGTGATGCAGCTGGACGCCCGGTCGTAGTAGTCGCCCCCGCCGCCGGGTAGCAGGGCCAGCAGCTCCGGCTCGCAGCCCATCGGTATCATCCCTGCCACCACCATCGTCCGCGCTCCAACACCGATCGCGTCCTGCATCATACAACGAGACAGGTGAAATTGAAAATTAATCAGTTAGGGTGGGGTGTGGTGAGCTGAGTTGACCGGCCGGAGTACTCACGGTCAGGACCGAACAGATGGCGCCGACGATGTGCGGCACCAGACTCTGCACCAGGCCGATGGTGCCGTTGCCGAAGACGGCGACGAAAGAGTAGTCGTTGAATCCGATCTCTCCCAGGTACAAGAGGGAGCTCGCCATGATCTTGCGCTGCCCTGTAACATACAGCCCTCCCCTAATCAGAAGTTTTTAGGACTCGTTGCGGAACGCGAACTCGTCATGGACCGTATTAAAATGTGAAATGACGGATCTCATGAATCAAGAATTATGGTAGACTATAGCATGTTGGAGTATAATGTCGTTCGGCTCTTTCCCTTATATCGGTCTTTTGGTTGCATTGGCTAGAGCATGCACTTCTACATGGTATCGGAGCCAAGAGGTCTCGAGTTCAAGACCCGGCTGGCGCAATTAAATTGCAGCCCACTTTCGGTCCACGTTTAGGCCTGAGGGAGCGACACGTGAGGAGGAGTGTTGACGTATAATGTGTTGCATAGTCTCTTCCTTCAGATCGGTCTGATGGGTGAACTGGTTAGGTGCATAAACTTACAACCAAGAGGTTCAGGGTTCAAAACCCAGTAATCGCAATTAATAATTGCGGTCTGCCCCCGCTTCCGCTGCCCACGTCATATAGCTTCAAAGAAGTATAGACGTGAGGGGGAGTGTTGGAGTATAATGTCGTCCGGCCCTCTCCCTTAGATCGGTCTTTTGGTTGCATTGGCTAGAGCATGCACTTCTACGTAGACTACGGAGTCGAGGAGCTGCAAAACACCATTGAACCAGCTCGATCCCTCTGCTCTGCAGGAAGGCCGGGTCAAGCGCCGTCGCGCCGCCCACCGCGAAGTTGGCGCCGTGCAGGAAGTCGACCGCGGTCTTGCCGGCGAGGTACGGCGTCGGTGGCGGCAACCCCAGAGACTCCGCTGCATCCCCACAACACATAATTGTTTTTTTTAGAAAAGGAGGACGACCCCCGGCCTCTGCATCTGGGCGGTGCATACGGCCATTTTATTAATTATTGACACAAGACCGTACAGAGTCATACAACAATAAGTCTAAAGCCACCAAAACAAGCAACAACTGTCGCTATCCCTATCTAGTTGATGTAGGGGCGCTGAAAGTCTGGGCCTAATACCAAACAGACCACGCAGCCAAACCTAAACATCTAAAGACTTGAGGTCCCACCCAGGACGCCTGCCCTGGTATGGGCACCCACCAGTCCGGCGTGCTTCTCAACCAAGACCCCTGCCGGGTATGAGGCCGCCGCAGCCGCCTGCCACCAATCCATCTTCAGAGCTGTACTGTTGCACCGACCTTGCCAGGCCTATCTGCCATCAACGCCACCATGACGCCAGACAGCTTCCACCTCCTGCACGAGTCCATCTCCGCGCATCAGACGCCGAGTCTCCACAGCGCCACGCCGCCGAGATCCGCCACCATCAATGTGTAAGATGAAGCACCGCTCCACCAAAGTCACCGTCCTCTAGTCCCTCGAGCCCGTGTGCACCTCCAAGAATGACGCCCCCAGGGGGGAAACGACACCAGCGAGCCGCCGTCATCCGATCTACTGATCTAGGGTTTCCCCCGGAGGTAGCAGAGAGTGGCCTTGAACTTCTCCACGACGATGCCTTCAGGAAGGGAACGACGCAGATAGCGTCGCCATCGTCGGCCTTGGCAATCGCCAATAGCAGGTTTTCACCCGGATTTGATCGAAGACCTCCATCCCTCGTGCACGGGTCGCCAAACCGCCGGGCACGCACCACCGGAACCACAATCCGTCGGCCAACCCCAAAGCGTTGCCGCCGCGAGGTCAGCTTTGGCTGGGGCGCCGACAGCCATCCCCGACCCCCGGCCCATCCCACCTCCTCCCCCCCCGGATGAAGAAGAGGAGGGGAAGGCCGAGGCCGAGGCCACCACTGCTGCGCCGACCCCTCCGCCAGCCGGCCACGGCGGAGGAAGCCGCCCGCAGCCCGCCCCAACCAGATCTGGATCGAGCCGCCGCCGTCACCACACCAGCCGAGCACCACCGAGGAGCAGCCCATCACGCCACCCGCACACCCGCGCACCAACCTGCGCCGATGAGGGGCCGCGCCGCGGCGCCCCGCGAGAACGCCATGACCAGATCCAGGTCGGCCGGCCCGTGCCAGCCCTCCCGAACGAGGCGATGAAGACGCCCCGCCACCGCCGGCGCCGGCCGGGCTTCGCCCGGGCGTGCCCTCTGGCGGCGGCGGGAGGAGGAGGAGGAGAAGAGAGGTGGAGAGGCGGCCGGCGGCTAGGGTTCCTCCCCTGCCGCCCGCGGGAGCGCCAGAGGAGGACGAGTCACATGAAAATTTTATTGAGAGACACACAAATAACACATAATTGTGAGCTTGTATCATCGGTACAGTAATGCAGGTCAACGCATGATCCGATCGGTGATTAAGTGATCTTTACCGACGAAGTCGATGAAGAGGCGGCCGTCGGAGGCCCTGCCGTTGGGCCGGCCAAAGTGGGTCTGCCCGTACGGAGGGTTGGTGAAGGGCCCCCCGGCGGTGACCGGGAGGATGGCCGAGTTGCCGGTGTCGGTGAGCGAGTCGCCGAAGCTGAAGACGCGGTCGTAGCGCGCGTGGCCGTGGCCGGTGCCGCCGGCGTACGCCTCTCCGGTGACGGCGATGAGGAGAAGGGCCACTGGAAGGAGGAGACGAGGAAGTGGCGCCATTGGGAGTTACAGGAGCCTGCGGTCTGTAATGGTGCTCCACTTCCGCGGGGCCGTGCTGCCGAACACGTCGATTTCTTGGTGTTTTGACTCTTGCGGTGGCCTGACGACGATGCTTGCAGCTTGCTTGTTGATTAGCTCGAGTATATGTTCCCCTGGTCTGGCCTGTGTTAGTTTTTATTTAATTCCTGGAGTCAACTCCAACATGATGATGATTGGATGAGCGTGGCAAGAGATGGAAAATGGAGGATTCTCGTTGGCCAAAGCGCTAACATAACATGCTCTGCCTCCAACTTCTGCAGATTTTGGAGCCGAGGGGTTCAATGAGTTAATTGCAAGGAAGTATCACATTTGGGGCACTTGTAACGGATCAGTACCACTATTCAGATTTTTTGCAAGTCAGTACCAAGATTGCGGCTAATCGTTGCAATATGTGCTAAGCGGCGTATAATGCTGTATCTGACAACCCGGCCCCACCAGTCAGTTGACAAGCCGGCGAACCGGTGCGCCGCTCGGCTGGCTAGGACCGACCCGGCTCGGTCGGACTTGGCTCGGTCGAACCGTAGCAGTTCTCTCCTCTCCCTCTCCCTCTCCTCGCGATGGCTAGTCCGGGCGGCGGCGTCGGCGGTGGCGGTGGCCGGAGCAACGGTGGCGTTCTGGGCGGGTACGGAGACCTCCCGGACTTGGGAGCGATGCGGACAGAGGAATCGAAATCAACGGTGGGGAGTCCACTTCGTCAGCTTACTACAGCAACGACGGCGAGGGCATGGAGGCGCCGCTGTCCATGAAGCAGCGGTTGCGGCTGGCTGAGATCTGGGTGGCCAATCCTACCATGAGCCATCACTGGAGCCATGGATTGGGTGGCCTGGTGTAAGTGCCCTCTCCTCTCCCTCTCTACTCTCTCCTTTGTGCCATGATTCAGGCTAGGGTTAGGTTTACTGAACCGAAAATATGCAATTTTGCTATCCATTGTAGTTTGGATGATGTTGTTTGGGATGTTAGGGTTCACTTCGATGCTCAACATAATTTGGATAGGAAGGTATGCAACTCAGATGTCACATTTTTAAATTTGTATGCACTGATGCGAACACAAGGATTTAACTTCAGTGATGAATTGTACCACATGGGGAATACATGCATAGGAGTGCAGAGAGAGCATGGCCTAGATTTGATAGACACAAACATCAAATTGCAACAAATTAAGAAGCAGAATGAGGACAGTTTAGTTCTGAACTTGTTAGTGAGGGCCACATCATTTGTCAGTACTGCACTCATGTTAGTGAGGAACAATTAGCCACAGTTTTATATCAAGAACCTGTTATGTATGATCTGAGAGATCCTTCTATGCTTGTTGTTAATGATCATGGTGTTGTTTTTTAAGTCAAAGCAGCAAAAGTAGTGCACTAGTACAACCTATTGGTATGTGCACACAAGAGAGCAGAAATGTCAGCAAGAGGAAGCTCAAATCTGTGATGGAAGAAGAGGAAGAGGAGGGATATAAGAGTAATGATGACTCTCGGGGGGCATGTGACAGTGACAACAACCCTTTCTGCATGAAGAAGTACAGGATTGCTGAAGACACAGAGATAATAGAGGGAAAGAGGCTAGCAGAGGAAGAACTAGAAGAGGATGAAGATTCACATGAAGATTCAAATAAGGAACAACTACACTATGAGGGTGACACTGAGGTTGAGGAGTTGTTTGAGATTGAGGAGGATGAGGAGGAAGATTCTGACAAGGAGAAGGAACCACCCATGAAAGCAGCTGGTAAAAAGAGGCAAAAGCCGCCAGTTAGGAGAGGGCCCACCACTAGGACACATTCGAATGTGTTAGAGGACTTGAAACCAGATTTCTGACCATCATCAGATGAAGAAGATACTGGGTTGCTATTGGATAGTGAAGATGATGGGTAGGAACCACTAGCATTTGTCCTACCAAAAGGAAGGAAGAGTAGGGCCATGAAAAGGCCAGCAAGGATATGGTATAATGACAAACTAGAGCAACCACATCAACAGTTATGTATGCACATGTGTTTCAAAAACTAGCAGCAATTCAGAGATGCTCTGTTGAACTTGCACATTACACAGGCCAGAAATTTCAGGTATCATAGAAACTCATACAAAAGGATCATTGTTTGCTGCAAACAAGAGCATTGTCAGTTCTTCATAGTTGCATCAGTTATCAAAGGGGAGAAGACATTTGTAATAATAAAATGAGGCTGCAGCACACTTGCCCTAGCACTACAGAGACATCAAGGCTTAGTGCAAAGTGGCTTGCACAAACATATGAGTCACTGTTCAGGTCTGATCCAAACACAAGTTTTTTGACTATGATTGACAACTGCAATGAGAAGTATGGTGTTGATGTTCCCAAGCACATGGCCTATAGGGCCAAAAACCTTGCTGTAGAGGCTGTTTTAGGAGAGCACAAGAAACAGTATCCCAGGCTGAGGGACTATGCTCAAACAATCATGGATACAAACCCTGGGAGTAGAGTTATAGTTACAACTGTAACTCCAAAACCTACTACAAGAATACCACATCTAGGACCAAGGTTTCATGCTATGTTCTTCTGCATCAATGGAGCAAGGGATGGCTTTCTCAGTGGATGCAGACCATTCATAGGTTAGTGACATGTTTTATATGCTTTATATGCTTTATTGGAGTGCTTTATTTAGTAGGTTAGTGACATGTACATCTTAAGTATGTTAGTAGTGTTATATAGTGTATAAACTTGCTCCTTGCTTTCATATGACATATATAGAATTGTGTATAAATTCTTGTAGTACGTTAGTGACATGTACAACTTAAGTATGTTTAGTAGTGTTATATAGTGAAAAAACTAGGTCCTTGCTTTCATATGACACATATAGAATTGGTTATAAATTATTGTAGATGACATATATATAGAATAGTCTGATAGTTTCATATAGTTACTGAATTTGGTCTTACAATATGCAATATAGGTGTTGATGGTTGCTTTATTAAGCTCACCACTGGAGCTCAAATACTTGCTGCCACTGGCAGATATGGCAACAACAACATTTTCGCACTGGCATTTGGTATTGTTGGACAAGAGGATACATCAAACTGGTGTTGGTTTCTTCACCAACTTAAGATATGTCTAGGAGGAGAAGGTGGACAATTTGGTCCTTATACTATCATATCTGATAGACAGAAGGTATGCATGCATTCTCTTGTTTATATTTATGCAAATTTGGTATTGTTGGACAAGTAGCTTGATATGCTATGTCAATAGGGCCTACTAAATGCAATTAATCAAGTATTTCCAAACCGCCACCAAAGATTTTGCCTTAGACACTTGTATGCAAACTTCCAAAATGCTGGGTTTAGGGGAGAAGATCTTAAGAAATGCATGGATAATGCTAGTTATGCATATAACCAACACAAGTTTGACATTGCAATGAATGATCTAAAAATGAGAGTGAGGAAGCTTGGAAGTGGCTGACTGGAATACATGCAAGATTTTGGGATAGGCATGCTTTTGACACAAATTGTAAGACAGACTTGGTTGTTAACAACGTATCTGAGGTGCTCAACAAGTACATCCTTGATTTTAGGAAAAAACCTATTAGGACTATGATTGATGGTATTAAGAATAAGCATATGGTGAGGTGGCATAGGAATAGAGAGATTGGAAAGGCAGCTCTATGGGAGATCACACCCCATTATGCTGAGAAGTTAGATGTGGAAAAGGAAAGGGCCAGATCATGTAAACCCATTCAAGCTGGTGTTAATCTATGGCAAGTAACCAGTGGGCAGCAAACACATGCTGTCAACTTGAAACTTCATACATGTGGTTGGAGATAGTGGGACCTAAGTGGCACACCATGCAACCATGCAATATCAGCAATTAACAAGGAAAAAAGGTTTCTAGAGGACTATGTGTGCAAATTCTTCAAAAAACCTTTTTACCTAGCAACATATGAACCAATGATATATCCTATTCCTGGTGAACATGATTGGACAAAGACAACATGACCAGACATAGAGCCACCTAAATTTCATGTGAAGAAGGGAAGAAAGAAAGAGAAGAGGATAAAGGGCAGATTTGAGGTTCCAAAGCCAAAGGAGAGTTCAAGAATGGCCGCTATAACATGTAGCAACTGTGGCTCCAAGGCCATAGGTACACCAACTGCAGCAAACAATTGAAACCAGAGGTGGCTTTGAGAAAAAATAAGCATGTGGTAAGCACCTTGTTAACTAGTACTACGTTTCATTCTCTTCATGTATTTATTGTATGTTTCATTCTCTTCATGTTTCCTTCATTTTTGCAAGGCATCTAGAAGATCAAGGAATGTTGATGAAGCACAGGTTGCACCTCCAAGAGCACAGGCTGCACCTGCTAGATCATCCAGGCTGCTCCTGCTAGATCACAGGCTGCTCCTGCTAGATCACAACATCCTTATGCAAGGCATGCTGCTGCAAGGCATTCAAGGCCTTTCTCTGCACCAAGAGCTGCTGCTGGGGCTTCCACTCCTGGTGCTTCCACTTCTGCTGGCCCTACACACTACAAAAAAAAGACACATCCGTGACATTTTGGGCCGAACGAAATTTTTTCCTGTCATACTTATGACACTTCTATGACAATAATTGTGACAAAACATGGTACCATCATAGATGTGGTGGGGTCCTACTTCTATGACAAAAAATCATGACATAAAATGGGATTTTCGTTCTGGGCGGGCCGGAGACGCAGCTGCATGACATTCTTTGGGCCGTCCATGACGGAAAAAAACCATGGTAGAAGCGACGGCAAGGAAAATATCGGCGTGTTCCCGATTACGGTGGGTGGTCGGGGCCGAGCGATGCGCGTTTCTCTCATACACGCACGCGTGTGGGTGCGAGGCGTTGGGCTCTAACTGAACCCGAGCGAGGCGTTGGGCTCTAACTGAACCCGAGCGATTGCACTGCAGGCTACGCGTTACTGAACCTGAGCAATCGATCGATGACTGTTAACTGAACCCGATCGAGCGATTCCTT